CAATAATACCTGGACCAATAATCCCTGGATCAATAATACCTGGACCAATAATACCTGGATCAATAATACTTGGACCAATAATACCTGGACCGATAATACCTGGATCAATAATACCTGGATCAATAATACCTGGATCAATAATACCTGGACCAATAATACCTGGACCAGTAATACCTGGACCAGTAATACCTGGATCAATAATACCTGGACCAGTAATACCTGGATCAATAATACCTGGATCAATAATTCCTGGATCAATAAAGGTAAATGAAAAAATAAAAAGTTCATCTGTAAACGAACCTGAAGGTAAAATCTGATTCTTCTCATGGTTCAGTTTTTCCCCCGAACACAAACAGAAGTTTCAGAGCCTGAAACACGATGAGTCAACCTCCAGTCAGCTGTGATTAACTGCAGCCATGTGCAGTCTAGCATTACACACATGCACGTGCACGTGCACACAGCCAGCTTCAGGGATGAGTTGAGAGAAGAAGCAGATTTGTGCTGAACATACGTGCACGTTTCCCTCCTCACACTTTAAAGCTTGAACGTTGGGCTGAGTCCTCGTAGTGCACGAGTTCAAAAGCTGTTTGCTCCGTGCACGTTATATTTATAGTCTGTTGTGTTTGTGACGACAAATAATTTATTAAAATTAAACTGAAGAGAACACAACGCACGATTTTCTCTACGTCTGTTAGAACAATGAACACAACAAGAACAGATAATCATCATAATCTGACTGTTATTATTATTTACTAATTACTACTATTATTATTATTCACTAATTACTATTATTTACTAATTAATATTATTATTTACTAATAATTATTATTATTATTTACTAATTACTATTATTATTTACTAATTATTATTATTTACTAATTACTATTATTATTATTTACTTATTATTATTATTTACTAATTACTATTATTATTATTTACTAATTACTACTATTATTATTCACTAATTACTATTATTGTTATTTACTAATTAATATTATTATTTACTAATTATTATTATTATTATTTACTAATTATTATTATTATTATTATTTACTAATTACTGTTATTATTATCATTATTTACTAACTACTATTATTATTATTATTATTATTAGTTAGTAATTATTAAACAAAAACTCAGATTAAAACAAGACAATATGAATGAGGAAAAAAACTCATTTTAAAGACTTTAAATTATATAAAACCTACAAAAACTCTGCACGTTGACGTATTGAGCTACTAAAACTCAACACTTGTTCAGCCGCGGGACAAAGTCTCGTCGTGTTCTCGAGAAAATAAAAACAACAACGACACCAAATCTAATTGTTGGATTCAAATTTTACACTTAAACAAAAGTAAACGAGCAGAACGCAGACGTCCCCGTCGCTGAGGGGTTCGAACAGGGCACGTTTGTAGTTTCTGACACAAGTGTTTTTCTGAACTGGACAGAGGAGGGACAGTGGTTTGGACGTGTCCAGAGGAGGGACAGTGGTTTGGACGTGTCCAGAGGAGGGACAGTGGTTTGGACGTG